TTTTCCAAACACCTTTGCCCTTGTTTTGGACTCTAACTTGCATGATTTGAATGGAACTAACCCGGACTGACGATATTTTCAGCAGAATTGTCATGGTGTTATTTTTGTGCAGAAATAAAAGTTCTCAGAATGACCTGAAAATCAACGGAGCATTATTTTGAAATATATAATAAATATTGGAAGGAAGGTCCACATCAGGGGGGCCTCCACTTGTCCACGAGGTGGGGGCGCGCCCTACCCCCCTAGGCGCGCCCCTGCCTCGTGGGCCCCCTGACGCTCCATCGACCTCAACCTGGACTCCATATATTCTCCTTTGAGGAGAAAAAACCAAGGAGAAGGATTCATCGCGTTTTATGATACGGAGCCGTCGCCAAGCACTAAACTCTCTCGGGAGGGCTGATCTGGAGTCCGTTCGGGGCTTCGGAGAGGGGAATCCGTCGCCATCGTCATTATCAACCATCTTCCATCACCAATTTCATGATGCTCACCGTCATGCGTGAGTAATTTCATCATAGGCTTGCTGGACGGTGATGGGTTGAATGAGGTTTATCATGTAATCGAGTTAGTTTTGTTAGGGTTTAATCCCTAGTGTCCACTATGCTCTGAGATTGATGTTGCTATGACTTTGCTATGCTTAATGCTTGTCACTAGGGCCCGAGTGCCATGATTTCAGATCTGAACCTATTATGTTTTCATGAATATATATGAGTTCTTGGTCCTATCTTGCAAGTCTATAGTCACCTACTATGTGTTATGATCCGGCAACCCCGAAGTGACAATAATCGGGACCACTCCCGGTGATGACCGTAGTTTGAGGAGTTCATGTATTCGTTGTGTGTTAATGCTTTATTCCGGTACTCTATTAAAAGGAGGCCTTAATATCCCTTAGTTTCCAATAGGACCCTGCTGCCATGGGAGGGTAGGACAAAAGATGTCATGCAAGTTCTTTTCCATAAGCACGTATGACTATATTCGGAATACATGCATACATTACATTGATGAATTGGAGCTAGTTTTGTGTCACCCTAGGTTATGACTGTTACATGATGAACTGCATCCAGCATAATTCTCCATCACCGATCCATTGCCTACGAGCTTTCCATATATTGTTCTTCGCTTATTTACTTTTCCGTTGCTATTGTTTTCATCACTACAAAATATTAAAAATATTACTTTTATTATCGTTACCTTTTACCACCGTCATCACTACTAGCATATTATTTTGCTACTAAATACCTTGCCGCAGATATTAAGTTTTCAGGTGTGGTTGAATTGACAACTCAGCTGCTAATACTTGAGAATATTCTTTGGCTCCCCTTGTGTCGAATCAATAAATTTGGGTTGAATACTCTGCCCTCGAAAACTGTTGCGATCCCCTATACTTGTGGGTTATCAATGGTCTTATGGTGAAAGATAGCTTCTCCACCATCTCCATGCTAGCCAAGTTGTTGCAGCTTCCTTCATCTACGCGAATAGAACGTTCCTTCATAACTCCCTTTGTATGGAACAAATTATGCCTCTGATTTTGCTAAGCTTGTGTAACCTGCACACTCAAAACACGTTGAGCAACTAAACATTCATACCTGTCAGCATCTTCAGCAGCCATGTATTTCATCTCATGATCAGAATCATCTCCCCTGTGTTCTTTACTTGTAATAAGAGCCAAAGTCTCCACATCATAGTCACTACCGGACTCATATCCACCATCCTTAATAGAAATCATCACACTCTGAGATTTGCATTCTCTCGCATAATGACATCTTCCCTTACAACAACGACAAATAATATCACTTGTGTGCCCTGTTGATGCCATGGAAGAAGAAGAAGAGCTCTGGGCAGGCCCGACAGGTGTGCTCTTGGCAGATAGTGGTGGTTGTGCCTGTTTTCTTGTATCACGGCTGGAGGTGGCACCTGATGGAGGTGTTGGTGCAGTGGAAGTAGAGGATGCGTGTGGTGTCCATAATGAAGGTTGACCTGCATAAAAGTTAGTTCGCGCCAATGTATGTCGGTCCTGCACTTCACGTTCAGCTTTACAAGCAAGATGGAATAAAGAAGTGATATTATTATACTCCTTATACTCTAGAATGGCCTGAATCTATCTATTTAATCCACCCATAAAGCATGCAAGCATAGCTTCATTCTCCTCAACAATTCCACATCTAATCACGCCAGTTTGTAATTCCTGATAATATTCTTCTACAAAATTTTGTCCTTGTCTTAAACGCTGCAATTTTTTAAGTAATTCATGTTAATAATATGGTGGAACCCAACGAGTACGCATAGCAGTTTTCAAAGCAGCCCAAGTAGCTGGAATAGGATATAATCTACAATGTTCAGACCACCAAGCACATGCAAAGCTAGTGAAAGCACAAACAGCAGTAGGAACACGTCTCTCCTCATGATATTGTAAACATGTAAATCATTTTTCAGTTTCTAACTCCCAAGTAAGATATATATCAGGAACATATCTACCCTCAAATGATGGAATATTCAATTTTAGTTTAGGAAGATGGTCATGATCTCGTACCTCAGGTGGTGCAGCCCTACCATTGCGATGATATGCATGAGGACGACCTGGTGATGGTGGTGCTGGTGGTTGCACGTAGTTCTGATTTTGATCAATCTCATCCTCGTAATGGTCCTCCACCTCTACGTTAGCAGCAGGAGCTACAGAAGCATCAACAGTAGGTACAGTGGCACTAGAAGTTTGACCAGGCTCAAGGGGAACGTGTTGTGCTCGTCCCACTTGATTTGGAAGGCGATGTTGTTGTTGTTGTTGTTTTTGTTGTTGTTGTAGAGGTGCGACAGGTGCAGCGAGCGGTGGTTGTGGAAGACACGTAAGCAATTCATTAAACTTGTTATCGAGCTTTGTTTCGAACGGCTTCTCCATGCCATTTATCTTCTCCATGGCCTCTTCAAATCTGTTTAGCACATCTTCCACCTGTCCACTTATCGTTTGCTGAAACTTATCATGTAACTCTTTGTTCGTCATGTTTTTTCAGTCAATCTCGTCGGCTCATCGTCCTGTCATGGTTAGCAGCAATAGAAACACACAAGAATATGATCATACAAACTACTAGAAAATGGTTGTGTGTCACAAATCCGTCAAGCAAATCTCAAATTCTTACCAGTTCTTACCAAGCGGCAGGTGGTGATTGGCAACCATTGTAGTCAAAACTCTCAAAGCTTGGATAGAGCGATTACCAGGGAGAGTCAAACGCACGACGTAAATGTATGTGGAGCTGGAAAGGCTTATAATATGGTAGGGCTGATGATAACAAACATGTCGAGATCCGCGCTTAGGTCGACATCGGCGTGCTTCGAGCCAAGTGGCCCAAGTTGTTCATCCCTGTCGCCATCGAGCCCAAGCACCGGAACGCTACAATGAAATGGATCCTCATCGTCGGGATCCTGAATCTGGCCGCTGTTCTTCATCTTTCTCTGAAGAAGTATTTGACCTTCTCTGCTAGCCTTTTTCGTACCAAATGTGTACACGGCTACTGCTGCAGTCTAGCTTAACTGTTAGGTAATTAGTGATCCGGTGAACTGGCACTGACCCAGGCTCGCTTAGTTGCTAGGTAATTAGCCTTCCAGGAAGCATCAAACATCGGTCTTGTTTGTAAGCATGTCCCCTAGAATATCTGAATGTGACTTGAGTGGTTTGGGTTGACAAAAAATTCTGTTGAATTTGCGTCTGTCGTCAGTTCACCACAACTCGTTCTATCTTTACGCACACCAGCTTAGGGAGCTCACCAAATGACACGCTGCATAGCACTATGTGCACAAGAACTCGAAGAACCTGAAGTCTCTATGGAATTTGCAAATACACCGCTGGAAGATAAGTGTGAAATCGGATATTACGAAAACACAAATGGAAACCTCACTTGATCCCGTTTTAGCTAACGCAGTGGTGCACTCGGCGCCATGCGCTTGCATCACTAAGAGGATGTAATTCACCATGCTTCTATATTCTTTCACGATTGACGCTAGGATACATGCATATGTTCCAACAAGAATTGCTCCCCTTATGGTCCAGCCAAGGTGAGGAGCGGCCAGTTCCATACTCAACTCATACTCCCTCCGTCTAAAAATACTTGTCGAAAAAATGGATAAAAATGAATGTATATAGAACTAAAATATGTCTAGATACATGCATTTCTCCGGCAAGTATTTCCAGACAGAGTGAGTATAAAAGAGCGTTTAGAGAGAATGGCGTCCGGCCTTAATGGAAGACTTCTTTTAAAAAATCAAAATATAAAAATTTTGGTTTCAAAAAAATCTGAATTTTTTTGTACAAGTAAATAATGATGTGAGGTGTATGTGTCTAAAATTTCAAGATGAAATACGTTGAAATGCAACCTTATGGTCTCGAAGAATGTATCATGTGTTTAAAAGCCTCAATTTTGTCTTTTTTGCACAACCCACATTTCAACATATTTGTGCATATCTGTATTTTTTTACAGAATGTTTTGAAGTGTAAAAATATGAATTTTCAAGAATTTTGCATTTTGCATTTGGAGGCCTCCATGGAGCTCAGCCTCCAAAAGCAATTTCCGGCATTTAGATCACTACTTGGTGATCTAAATGCTCCTATATTTCTTTAAAGAGGAGTAGAGTATTATATTGCACTCATTTGAGTTCCCTTTTCTTATTTTTTTTCCTTTGGATGGACAAAAGAGAACAATGAAGAATGGCTTCCCTAGAAATAACATTTGCCACATTCAAGTAAAACACATCATTGCAGTCACCGTTCTCAGCACAGTGAGGCTACCAATCTAGTCGACAAAGCAACATACATTACAAGAAAGAACGGTTTCCATCTCACATCTCATAATATAACCCAATAAAGAAATTTAACCCTGATGAGGCAGCTGCAAGGCACTGCAAGTTACAGCTGTCGACACGGTTCAAGAAACCCGCAGCAAATCCGGCAAATGTGCCGCTATAAGCTTAAACCACCAATACATGCCGGCGAAAGCTGGGATGCTAAAACAAGGGCCTCACTTCCATAGCTTCCGCAGCGACATGTTCTTCTCGGTATCCTTCTTCATCACCTTTGCCACGGCCATCTCGAAATCCTCCTGGGTGACGTGCACCCTTCTCTCGCGGAGGGCAAACATTCCAGCTTCTGTGCAGACCGCCTGATGATAGATCAAAGTGAGTTAGACTCAATGATGTGTGGGTTGATGCACACTACTTGAAACAGAATACTGGTCAATACATTTGTGAAATCAAGACCTCAATGGGAAAAACTTAGTACTTGCTACCAGGACCAGGTTCTGAGTTGGTGAAACTTTACATGGAGTAATATTTTAGCATGGGTAAAACTTTACATGGGAGTAGTACCATGGGTAACAATGGTAGCTGGGCCTGGATATCTACACAAGTTAAATGGGACATTATCTGATTATAGTTATTTTGTAGCATGTGCTCGCCTACATGCCAACTTATTAGCATTGTGAAGTTCAGATTTTTTTTTTCCAGCATGTCAAGACAAATATATTAAAAATTGAAATGCTCGCCTATAATGGACACAATACATACCTTTAGCTCTGCTCCTGATGCCCCGTTCATCTTCTCGGCAATCTTTTTCAGATCAATGCCACGCATCAAGTTCATTTTCCTTGAGTGAATCTTCAAAATATCACCACGGGACTGAAAGAATAGATAATTCAGAGTCAGCACTGATACGAGCAAGCAATATTAACTTATATATGGTGAGTACTGCATCACTTACATCTGCATTAGGATTTGGAAATTCAATCTTCCTATCAATACGACCAGGCCTTAGAAGAGCTTGATCCAATATGTCTATCCTATTTGTTGCCATAAGAACCTTAATTTTGTTCGATGCTTCAAAACCATCAAGTTGGTTCAGAAGCTCAAGCATAGTACGCTGAACCTCGCTATCACCATTGCCAGATCCCGACTCCATTCTAGCAGATCCAATAGAGTCTATTTCATCCATAAATATAATGGATGGTGCATGCTCCCTATGAAATTCAGGCCAAATGTGTTAGACTCTGGTATAAATTCATACTCCCTTTTACAGGGAATCATTTCAAAATCTGACTGAAATGGTTTCCCGAAAAGGAAATCTAACAGGTAAATAGTAATAATTTGAATGCAACACAGATGGATAATGTTTACCTAGCCATCACAAAGAGTTCACGAACCATCCGGGAACCCTCTCCAATATACTTCTGAACCAACTCAGAACCTGACACCCTGATGAAGGTGCAGTCGGTGTGATGAGCAACTGCACGAGCAAGTAATGTTTTCCCTGTACCTGGAGGCCCGTAAAGAAGGACACCCTGAAAAAGCAAGGATAATTATTTACCGCTGAATAACTGGCTGAATCGATGCCAAATAAAATGCAAATTGGTAGACAAACTTGAACCTTTGGTTGGGCAATTCCGAGACTCTCAAACAGCTCAGGATGCTTGATGGGAAGCTCAATCACCTGAAAATCAAGTTGTTAAGCCACAGTGCTAATGATACAACAAATGTACTATGCATTGAATATGTTTACAAACCTCCTTGATCTCTTTAATTTGCTGATCAAGACCACCAATCATATCATAGGTAGAGTCAGGAACCTTCTCCACCTTCATAAGATTAACCAGTGGATCGACTTTGCTGGGCAGGATAAGGTGAAGCATGTAGCTGTCGTTCCGAAGAGCAACTCTTGTTGAAGGGGTTATCTTTGTAATATCAATACTTTTATCAAGATCTACAACATATTTGCCTTCTGGATGAACCTGAGAGATTGCACTTAACCATTTAATTACAGTGAAGAAGGATGGCTGGAACTCAGAGCTCCCACTTAAAACATATAGGCCAACAGAACAAAGAATCTCAGTACAACATAACAACTATGCATGTTTTATGTTACTACACAACAGGCGAGACGAACAATGTCTCGTGAAATGAGGATTGCCTGGTACTGAACACTAAGTTGAACATCACAGATAGAACATTACTTCCAAGTTTTATTGCATGTTTAGCCCTATAGAAACTTAAACGCTAACATAATACGCTCATGCACATCATCAGGACGTTTATATCACAAAACAATCTACTTTTTAGCATCCTTTTCTGCTTGCTAAACAAATTCAATGATATCCTTTTTTTACTTTTAGTGTTAAGGAAATAAAGTGGATAGAAATATATCCCTGAACTACCCAATTGAGGGTTTGCAACAAAATACTGGTCATCCATTGTGCCTAAAGCAAAACAGACGTGCACAAGCATAGCTTGAAAGAAGTAACAGTGAGACAAGATGTACCTTCACTAGAACCTTTGACTTGCCCATGACCTTCACAACCTCGCCAACATATGAGCCCGGTTCTTGAAGCAGCTGCAACTCTTCCCGGAGCATTCTAACTGCAATAACAAAATAGTGATGAGCATTTAAATTATCAGTGCAAGAGACACATTATAATTAAACAGAATTCAATGCCTCAGAAGCGTTCCATATTCTAATTGAACAAAATTTAATATCCCAAAAGCTGTCGAATTTCAACTAAGGGAAGACATATGAGTAGAGTAAAAGGACTATACACACTAAAAAAGCAAAATTTCCACCAATCACGCACATGGCGCATAAGTGGGACGCATGAACAGCTAGTCCCCCCAACACCAAAACAAACCTAAAATCTGAGACACCATCTACACGCCATCGGATCAAGCATGGTTGAAGCTCGGAACTAAAGGTCCAGGCACAATCGGATCAATCAAAGGCTCGCGAGTCGCAATGAAACGATGGGATGCGGCGGGCCGTCTTTCGAGAACTAGGGTTGCGCGGCAGGCGGAGATTGGGGATCGGGGCGGTGCGTACCTCGAGAGTTGAGGTCGTTGCGCTGGGCCTCGAGGCGGTTGAGGTTGTGCGTCTTGGTCCGGATCTGGAGCTGCAGGTCGTGGATGTGCTGCAGGTAGTACTGGCGCAGGCCCTCCCCGCCGCCGGCCCTGCCCTTGGCCGACGCCGCCGACGGGTCGTCAACGCTCGCCGGCAGCGCCGAGGGCTTCGCGATGTCCATCGCCACCGCCGCCATCGGGATTCCCCCCTCGTCTGCTCCGCCGCTCTGGGGGTGGCTCGAGTCCGCTCGGGTTCGAGGGTGAGCTTCTTTTCCGGCACGTTTGGCTCGCTTCTCGCTTCTGGCTCTCTGGGCTGGACGGGCGTGCCGTATATGAGGGGACGAGTCGATCGCCCACGGTCCGCCTCGGAGCAGTAGGTGCGAGAAGGGGACGGACACGGCCACACGGATCGGAGTAGTACCGTACACCCCTAAAAAAAACTCTCTTCTGACTTTTTTTTTCGAAAAGGATCGGCTATTGTTCATCGGAAGTAGAGAGCATCTCAAAATAATAAAAATTATATCAAGATCCCAAGATCACCGGACGACCACCACTGCCCCATAACAAGCCGTTGCCGCCGCTCCTCTACTGGATGACCTTGTCGATGATAGTGGAGAAGTCTTCGTGCACGTGTCCCTAAGGACCGGTGCCTTGAAGCCGCAGTCGTTGTCGTTGAACCCTTGCAGAGATCCGAAGCACATTACATCAAATCTTGTCACATGACGAGAAACCCTAACCTCATCGTTCCCAGGAGATCATGAGAATCTACGTTGGAGCTTCGTCGACTACGTCCAAACGAGCGAACTCGAGGAGGATCAGAGTCCGGAAGACAAAACTCGAAGAAGAGGCGTCGTCATCCGTCCGTGCGCAACACCTATTAGGACTAAAATAAAATACCCTAACTTGAACTACTAACCGTAACGAAGGCACCGCGATTTCCCTCCCCGCTGCCGGTCGTCAGAGGGGCAGGCAGAGAGGAGACGAATCCATAGGCTCAACGGTAAAGTGTGGAGAGGAGAGCTTGCCCAGACCACCCAGGGTTAAAAACAAGAGGAAAAATGCTAGGTAGAAATACTTGCACCTAAAAATATTGGTGAGGAAGTCCTAAACTTTGCACCACATAAACAAGTCCTAAACGTGAACCAACATGTGGTTAAATGGTTAGGAGAACAGTGATATCCTTAGCCCACTAGAGTTTAAATTCTAAACTTCGACATTGGTGCCTGCATTTTTCTGAGTTTATTTCAGACCTTCTGGCGATGTGCGTTTAGTGAGAGAAGACGTTCTAAAAGACCATGAAGCTGTATGTGACGATTTCGTCAATTTCAAGATAATATGTCGGCTCGGTCTCTCGAAGGTGCTCCATAAGGATGCGTATGTATGAGTGTCTGCATCTGTATTATGTTAAAAAATCAAGTACTAGACTTAGCCATTAGTGGTCGTATTTCCCTGAATTTATCTCAGGCCTTTCGGTGATGTGGGATCAGTGGAAGAAGATGCTCCCGTCGACTACGGAACCGTCTGTAACGATTCCGTCCATCTTAAAATGATGTGTCGGTTCATTCTCTCAAAGGTGTTCATAGGCGTAGGGTATGCAATTTATTTATGAATTAAAAAATTATAAATAAATGTCTCTTTTAATAAAGGCATACCCCATGTCTCAAGATGTAGACTTTTCGTATTTCCAAAGACAACTTATTGGCTTTTAAGGAGGAAAATTATTGTCTAAGGCTGGTCATAGTGGGGAGTAATTTAGACTAGTGTCATATGCATGACACTAGTCTAAGTTACTACCTCCATAGTGCAATGTATCTTAGTAATAGTGTCATAGTTTGTTTCATTTATTGCTTTATAGACTCATTTTACTTGGGAAGCACTATGTTACAGTAACATATTATCTTTCGAACATGGGATTCCTTTTCAAGACATCCCGTTCGAAGCATGTTGTTTGCCACAAGCAACATGAAAACCTAACCTAGATATGCATCATCATAATGAGTTGTCAAATAGCGTGCATATGTTTTTTTATATGTATATAGTACAAGTTCATGACTACTATATGGATTTATCAGCTTCCACGTTTACACCGTCAGGTTTTCAATCTGAAGAAAAAGAACCAACAAATTTGCAGAAATTCATATATATCACCACCTAAGATCCATCACAAGTACCAAAACAAGTCCAAAAATCTAACCGACGAGGGCAGCACCGTCGGACCACGATCCAACGGCCGACAGGAGCCCCGAGAGTCCGAGAGAGATTCATATAAGCCGGGCCTCCGGCCTCCTGCCCCCCACTCCCCTTCCCCGCTCCTCCCACACCCCATTGCTACCTCTATTATCCAATAAAACTCCTGTACAGATCAAGCTCCAGGGATCCGGATCAGCCGATCCCGCGCCCCGCAGCGCGATTTTTTTACCCTCGACCCCCCCTGGTATTTTTTTTCTCCGATCGGGGCTAGGGTTAGGGCGTCGGGGAGGAGGGCGCCGCCGGAGTCGACGAGCCGGGCCGCCCGGGGAAGCGAGCGGGAGGGGGGCCGGGAGAAATGGAGAAGAAGAAGGTGGCCGTCTCCAAGGTGTGCCACGGCCACTCGCGGCCGGTGGTCGACCTGTTCTACAGCCCCGTCACGCCCGACGGCTACTTCCTCATCAGCGCCAGCAAGGGTAAGCGATCCGCCCCGCTCCTCTCGGCCGCGGCCGCGGCTGCGTCTGGCCACCTCGCCCATCGTTATTTTTGGGGGGTTTGTGCGCGTGCGGCCGCGATTCGTTCGGATCCGAAGCCGTCGCCGTGATGCGGGCGGCGGCGGTATGATTGTCGTGAAACGGGTTTAAGCTGCTGCTCCTCAGCGCTGTACGGGCGAATTCAGTATCTGGTGGACGAATATTGGTCACTTGCTGTTGTATTATGATGATGATTATTGTGGCCCCCATGTTGCCGCACACACTTCTAGGGATAGAATCTCGGGTATCCAGGTCATGGAATATGCTGATATTCTGTAATTTCACAATCTAGCCAAGTTTGTGCTATATCGGGTAGATTTCAAGGATTTAGAAGTTATTGCATGCCATGGTTGGAGGCCAAACTTTGTCACATGCCTTAGTTAAGTCTGTCCAAGTTAGGAAAGTTTTCATTTTTGGGCGCTGGTTTCACCTTCCAAGCCCTATTAGCTATTTCCAGTGCGCTAGACAAGTGGAGTTGAGGCAAGATTCTCTTAGTCTGCTATTGTGGCTATCTACTTCATTGATGTTTATAATGGTGAATGGATTTGGACCGTTACTGGATTGCCTGGGTATCTGCTGGAAGCAGTTGCTTTTATGTCTGCTCAGATGGAAGCCGTTAGATGAGTAATATGTAAAAGTTGCCTCTTTCCGTTTCATGTTTTTCATCACCACTGAGCTGTCAGTTCTAGGGATGTAAACAAATGGTAACTGCTGGATACTCTTAAAAATATTTTTCTATCCATAGCTGTGGTTTCAAACAGGATACAGATAATATGTATTCTTCATTAGCTGTTGTACTAGCGTTTCTCGGACATTAGATGGCATCCCTGTTTATTAGAGTGTAGTTGGAGCATATTTTCTAGATCTACCTGCATGACATAATTCTTTTTAACAAGTATTAATATTTGCCAAAGAACTGGCCTCAGCAACGGCTTTAATTCCTCTGATGCACTCTTTTTTGCTCTAAGTATTATAATGCTGAATTTTTTTCATTATATTGGTCTGTCCGCACACGGAGTTCATTTCTAAATTTAAAATAACTAGGGGAGCAAATGTTCCGTTTAGTGTGGTGCATTCATTAATTACAGTTGTTGACATAGCTAACACAATTAACTTTATTCTGTTAGTCTATTGTTGTGTTCAATTCCAGTTACTTTCATAATCAATATTTTTATATGATTCTTGGATGCGTGGACCAACTTTTGATCTTAGGCCGCTGGATTGGGTCAGTGTAGGGTCAGGAAGATAAGATATAAGGGCAGTTTTAAATCAAACGGTGCCCTTATGTTGTTGGTATGGATGGCACCATATTATATGCTCGCCTGTACCAGAGAACAGGGTACTCGTACCAGAGAAGGGTGCAAATAGTTGCACATGATAATTGTTACCTGCCAACAGTATACATCACTTTTAAATGCATTGAAAGTCCTCCCTGCCTTGTTAGATTCCTGACTATCACCCAACTCTAACATCTCATATTCTGGTCTACAGACTCAAATCCTATGCTTCGTAATGGTGATACTGGAGATTGGATTGGGACTTTTGAAGGTCATAAGGGTGCAGTTTGGAGCTCTTGTCTAGACACAAATGCTCTCCGTGCTGCCTCCGGTTCTGCGGACTTCTCAGCGTATGACATTTATTCCTGCAAATTTTCATTGATGGTTCATTTCAATTATTGTTCTTTGAGAAATCCGAGTGTGCCTGCCTAGTGCCCTACTCTATTAGAGTACCAGTTGATACTTACCTGCTGAAGATCTATGTATATTCGTGTTCTTGCATTTCTTCAGCAGACATGCTAAATTGTGATTATTTTTATCGGCATAGTACTTTCAGTTGTATATTAGTGAGTATGCTACAAACTTGACAACTGGTTTAACTTTCAGTTGTGAAGTTGTGTATAGTGGGTCAATCCGATTTCCCTATGCAGTGACATTTTCTTAACCGCAGGTGATCGGTTTATTTTGTTGGTTCTGTCCACTGATGGTTGCTCACCTGGTGAACCATAACTTAATGCATCCATGATTGAATATAAAAATTAGGCAGAGCTAGAACGCAACAATGTTATATTCATCTGCATAATTTAATACATCATTACTCTATTTCATAGTCGTAAGTCTGCTCATACTCTGTGTAAATAAATAATAAGCATTTTTCTGCAAAAAGGATTACAGTTCTTCACTGTTAATGCTCAGAAATGTTTATGTACTAATTTGTGAGTATAATCTACTCTTTTGACTGACATATTTGACTATTTTTTTGCAGCAAAATATGGGATGCACTAACAGGAAATGAGCTACATTCGTTTGAGCACAAGCATATAGTCCGTGCATGTGCCTTTTCTGAGGTAATGTTTGTTGACACATAAGGCATGCTTGGTTTGCTACCAAAAATCGTCTAGCCAATATTTTTGTAAAAATAGGCAGCTTTTTGAGAGACTGGCAAAACAATTTGCTTGTCAATTTTTTGGTTTTGCCCAA